TTTGCCCCACCGGTGCGGAGGAACTTGAAGGAATCTCTTTTTGTTTAGGAAATATTGTTCGCTGTGGCGAGAGACGTAGTGGGGTAAAATGGGGTCGTGACTAGATATCTCGATATTTAATAGAACAAAATTGTAATTTTGTTATTTTCAAATATGTTGACTAGATTTTGAAGGATGTTTGGAGTTAATGCAAAGTGTTCTCGTTATTTGAACACGTGTATTTGGAAATGAGTTCGTCTGAGACGTGCGCATTTATAGTTTTACACGGTTCAGTTGTGGACATTTATCATTTACACTGGGACGAATGCACTTGGCTAGGAGAATACTCTCAAGTTATTCAAATCAATGACACTGTTACTCCGTCGTTATTGACAATGTGACAACAATAAGCCACTACTGTGTTGATGCTCGATGTGCACATACAATGGCTGCATGTACACAATAATCAAAGTGTCAATGAAAAATGTGCACAACTGAAACGTATAGAACTACGAATTAGCACGTCTCCAGTGTGATCATTTGAAATACATCTGCGAGGATTGTTGGAGCACTTTGTACAGACTCCAAATGTCCTATTAAATCCAGTGGACATTTTTTCATTCACTCATGATCACCTGAAATTGTTTTATTTATTCGTTCGCAGAGTGAATGAAAATTGTTACGTCAAGATGCCAGGGAAATTTACGATGACAAGCTCGGCATGATGGAGTGTTTCGAGCCATTAGTTTGAAAGGTACTCGAGCAAGTAGTTTGTTATTCAACAATTCACCCTTCTGTGTCTTTCAAACCAACGGAGATCAATGGATTTAAAGTCAGAATTCTTCGATTGAAAATGTCAAGCGTTGAAATTCCCAAAAAAGTTGACTGGATTTTGTCGAATATTTGAAGTTAGTGGAAAGTGTTCTGGTTATTTGAACACGTGTATTTTGAAATGAGTTCGTCGGAGACGTGCGCATTTATAGTTTTACACGGTTCAGTTGTGGATATTTATCATTTACACTGGGACGAATGCACTTGAGCACAGGCTAGGAGAATACTCTCAAGTTATTAAAATCAATGACACTGTTACTCCGTCGTTATTGACAATGGGACAACAATAAGCCACTACTGTGTTGATGCTCGATGTGCACATACAATGGCTGCATGTACACAATAATCAAAGTGTCAATGAAAATTGTGCACAACTGAAACGTATAGAACTACGAATTAGCACGTCTCCAGTGTGATCATTTGAAATACATCTGCGAGGATTGTTGGAGCACTTTGTACAGACTCCAAATGTCCTATTAAATCCAGTGAACATTTCTCCATTAACTCACGATCATCTGAAATCATTTCACTGACACATTCTCAGCCTGGATGCACCTTTTCTCACGATACACCAAGCACCCCGTCTATCCCTAAATACCTCGGTCATTCACCGGAACTAAACCTCCTCAAAACCACTATATCACCCCGAAAACTCGCTCAAACTCCCGCTCCATCCCATCCCCTGGAATCCCCTCTCCTCCCCCCCGAAAACATGTATCCCCTAAACACCCCAGGGGTGTCCACACCCTCCCCAGTGTCTCATACATGCATACAGTGAGATTAGACCCCGTAGAGTGGCTACAGTCCACCCACACCCGGCAAGTGGAGAAAAGGTCGTCGGTGGAAGGACAAAAGTGAAAGAGAATTCGAGGCTCACTCCTTCTCGACATTTCCAAGGGGTTTTTTCGAGTGAGTGCTCCTTGCACATCACCCTCTCCCTCCCCCTTCACCCCCCCCCCNCGACATTTCCAAGGGGTTTTTTCGAGTGAGTGCTCCTTGCACATCACCCTCTCCCTCCCCCTTCCCCCCCCCCCTACCCCGCCCACCCCTCCAAACCCTCTTCTCTTCCTTTCGCGACGCCTCGGTAGTTTCGTTAAAAATTCAAGGCGCAATCACGTACGATGAATGGCCTCTGAACCTTGAGAGGATCTCCTCCACTTCAGCATCGGGTTTAGGTCGGGGTTGAGATGGCGACGAGTGAAGCCGTCAACCCTTCCTCATTTCTCTCTCTCTCTCTTTGCTGTTTTTCATTCGTCTCCTTCGTCCATCGGGAATGGAAGGATGCATAGGTAAATCTGCGTCCGGGGGAAAATGTCCTGGGGGGAGGGTCAGTCAGTCGTAGGGGAGTTTTGTCTAATATTTATCGTGAGCTGTTGAGGAAGTTTGAAACGACTCCTCCGAGCATTCTTTAGTTCTGGGGGAGGTAAATAGAGGAGTTGAGGGGGGATTGATGGGAGTGGAGAGTGGGGGTTTATTTATTTATGCAGTTTTTAGGGGTTAAAGGGTTTTTTATTGGGGACTGCGGGAGAAACCGATGGGATCTATGTAAGATTGAGGAAAGGATTTCTGGAGTTCTTCGAGGTGGAGGTTTGTGGACTGAGGGGAACAACAATTTTTTTTTCATTCAATTTTTCGCTTGACAATTGCTTTTAGTGCTGTGCATTTCAATATTTTTTCATCCAGAAAGTCCGGAAATGCAATTTTTAGAGCACGTTCGTTCGTGTTTTTACGTATGGACGTAGGTAATTAAGTTTTTATACTGTTGGTATTTTTGCCCTATCGATCGCTATTAATTAAAATTTAATTCATTGATTAGTGTTTTCAATTTTCGATTTTTTTCGGAAATCGGTTGTTCCACGATAACTAAAAAAAATGTTCTGAATTGATTGAATGATGGCTTAAAAAATTTGTTTGGATGTCCTTTTGATCGAGTTCGAAAATGAACGCGATAGATATAATCGTTATTTTGATTTATTTGAAAATTTGCGAAAATTTTGTATTTTTTGAAAATCTCAATTCCGGGGATATCTTTGAATATCATGCTTTAAATGAATTCAATCATAGCTTAAAATGTTTGTTTCAATGCCATTAACCCTAGTTTGGTCACCATATGAGAACTTGCGACTTGGTCACCTCCGCAGGGAATCGCCGCCGTGTTATTTAGGCCCGAGCGTTGCCGAATTCACTCTATACTGCTCGGGCGCATTTAGCGAGACTTCGGCAACGTCCCACAACGGGCAATTTCATTTAACATGGGAAAAAATTGCCCGTCTGTTAGATATAATTTTTTTTCTTCAGGAATTGTGGATATAAATAATTTTAAAAAATATTATAATTTTCTAGACACTTGAATTGACGCATTCCAATTTTTTAGGACTTTTCCGCTCAGCCAGTCAATGGTAAGAAAAAAAAATCGACCTTCTGCGGCGTTTCCCTGATAAAGTGATGATAAGAATAATGATGGTGATAACATTCAACTGAGTTGAAAATCTGACAAAATTAGTTGAAAAGAAATCTCATTCAATTTAATAAAATGAAATGAACAATGAATTATACACGATAGAAGGAAATGATATGCAAAATAACCATTCGGGGGCATATTGCTAATTTATTATCAAAAATAACTATACTATGTGCAATACCCAAGTAACTTCCCACCTGTTTTCAATCCATGATCTGTTCATTTTTAATAATTTTAATCGGTTGTACTTTTGTTTGTGAAAAATAGAGCAATTAGTTCTCGGAAATTTTCTGAATAATGTCAATTTTTTGGCATAATTTAAAATACTATACTTCATCTTCATGTTGAATCATAAATTGAGATATTGGTTAATGTAGGTAATCGAATCCTCATTTTTTCAACACTTGAAAAATGATAATTCAGTGATTCATGTGTGAATCACCGAGAAGGAAGTGCGAGAAACTTTCACAAGGTCGCTGCAAGATCATTAAGATTTGTTTTTATGCTCCATTCTGGCGCGAGTGAATCACTCGGCATTGACGTAAGTCTATAAAATCACTGTACATAAAGGGGTCATTAACATACAACGAGTTGTGATCACCAGCATCCAATATCACTCAAAGGCGAAACAGCATTTTTTTCTCTTCCTAAACTGGAAAGCAAAATTGAATTCAATTCTCTAGTCAATTTCACGTGACACAATGATACGATTTCGATAAATTGGCGCTTATTTTACAGCTTAAAAAAATACTTGACAAAAAAAAGATTAAGATACGATTAAAGATGGTCCATCAGGTTTAGGTCGTTCACTGCACATCCGGGTTTTCCACAGTACATAGTAGAATATTGGTAGTTTACCTGTCGATGGTAGAAAAATGTCAATAACCGATCAAAAACCCCCTGACGCAACTATCAGCGCTCGCAAGGGTCATACCTTGCGAGGGTCAAACTTCATCAAGGTCAAACGACAGAGGACAGGCAGGACAGTCTCAAGGGTCAACTGGAAGAGGCAAAAAGGGCTCGGGTCAAATGGGAGAGCTTTCTCATATATTTAGCTCTATATGTGATCGTTTGACCCTTACGATTTTTTTGCTTGCTTCTCCTGGTTGACCCTTACGGTCGTTTGACCCTTGAGATTGTCCTCTTTGCCTCTCCTGGTTGACTCCTATGGTCATTTGACCCTTGAGATTGACCTATTGCCTCTCCTGTTTGACCCTCAAAATATTTTGCTCGACATATGATCGTTTGACCCTTGAGATTGACCTACTGCCTCTGTTGTTTAACCCTCGACATATTGCGTTCGACATATGATCGTTTGACCCTTACGATTTTCCTGCCTCCTTCTCCTAGTTGAGCCTAATGATCATTTGACCCTTGAGATTGACCTACTGCCTCTGTTGTTTGACCCTCGAAATATTGCGTTTGACATATGATCGTTTGACCCTTACGATTTTCCTGCCTCCTTCTCCTAGTTGAGCCTAATGATCATTTGACCCTTCAGATTGACCTACCTGTCTCTGTTGTTTGACCCTTGCGAGGCAAAATGGGACAGCCTTCAGAAAACATTTTTTGACGAAAATGTAGTTCTCTACAAAGAAGTTTTTTCAACATTTTCCACAAAATTAACAAGATAAAAAATTTCTCTTTCAATTAATAAAAAAAAACCCTGAAGAAAAAATTAAATACTCCATCAATCAACTCTAACCTTCATTTTCCCTGTTTGTTGCAGGCTCCAGGCAAATTAATGCCCAATGGCGCGCGCTGGTACGCAGCGCTGGAGAAATCCCGCCCCGGAGTAAGTATACGTATGTACAGTATCCATCCCACACACTTAACCATCATTAAAAAAAAATATGTCGTATCACTGTCTTTAGAATAATGAATTTGCATCCCACGTGTGCCTGTACTCGCATGCCAATGAATTGCTAGCCATAACTTGCGAATCGCTGTTGTCACGTGCCGTTTAATTCCACCGAAGGCATCGAATCCCTCATTCTCAATTTTAATATTCCCCAAGTGATGCTGACGAAAACAACGGGAAAACTCCATCCAATATCCGCATCTCCAATTCATGTCCCCAGAGTTTGTCCTAAATCCACTCCATAAATTCCGAAAAAAGAAGAAAAAATAGCAGGAGGAGAAACAGAAGGAACTTCCCAACTCATCAAGACAAACTGTGTCTCTCAACTTTCCCATCTAAAAAAGTTGAAGGGGTGGACATTCTTGAAATATTCCACTGGCGCCACTGGAGACAATTCATACTAATGAAGGCCACTTGGTTATTAGGACATTACCCTCATCGCGTCTGTCGAATTTCTCGGAATTACCAAAAATCCAAATTCAAATTTTCGCGCCACGGAAATGTAAACCGTCTCTCCAAGGAGCCAGGAAAATTTCCGCTTCAAAACTCAGGTCGTGAACTCATTTTGCCCCATTTGGCTGAAAAATACAGGTAAAAATAAATTTGACCTTGAAAACCGTTTTTTCCATTATCTCCGGAAGTTCTGGAGTAAAAAGAGCCCTCATATTGACTTTTCCAGCTGAAATTTCTTCGGCTATTCGCTGGACCCGTCGATTAATTGGTTCGATCAAGTAGCCGCAAAAATTTTCCGATGAACAGGGCTAATTGAAGCCATTTAAGTGCCGCGGTCTTGAGGATATTGAAAAACGTTTTTCAAGGTGACAGTGGAAGATTTAATGCACGCTGCGAAGCCACTGGAGAGGAATGGAATTTTTAATAGTGGCTTTCATCAGAGATATTCCCTCTTCAATAAGACAGATTTCTTCTCCGCTCCATTCCTCGCATATTCACAAACGGAATAAGTGGATGAAATACATTGTTTGAATTTTCTATTCATATCTCGAGAAATATCTCAGGGAAAATTGAAATGTGGATGGGAATAGTTTCATTGGGGAATTTCCTATGAAACACATTCTAAAAAAAAACAATTTTTTTGACGTAAATTCACGGAATCGTGACAGAAATCGGAATATTGGATGCGTTTGTTACTTTGTTCTCGTATGTCCTTGTTCATAGCTGGAGAGAAAAGGAAGTTAGAGGGACGAGAGTGGTCTCTTTTTCAAGAGGAGCGAATTTCCGATGATACACATCGCAAAAAAACTTCATATGTTCATCGAAGATTTTCTCTGAAGTAAAAGAAATGAAGATATGGAACCTTTTTCAATTTTGTCGGTTAGTGTCCTTGCTGATATCTAGAGAAATACCAGAGATAGATCAATGAGAGTGATCTCATTTTGAAGGAGAGGACCTGTGCAATGATACACATTTTGAAAAAATTCACATTTTTATGAAAAATTTCCCTGAACTAAAAAAATGAACGGATAGAACACTTTTCCGACTTTGTCTTCAAGTGTCCTTGCTGATATTTGGAGAAGTACTAGAGATAGATCAATGAGAGTGATGACAATTGGAAGGGGAGAATATTCTTAACAATACACATTCCAAAGAAATTTTATTCTTCACCGAAGATCTCTTTCTGAAGCAGAAAAACTGAATATACGAAATCCGCTTTTTATTTGTCGTTGTCCTATCTGTGCAGTTTATCTGTGCCTTTGCATATCTAACAATAAATATGATCTTATTTTGAAGTAAAGGAGATGGCCGATGATACACATCACAAAAACTTCTCTTTTTGATAAAGGATTCTGTAAAGTAGAAGGAATGTACATATGAAATAAGTTCTTTACTTTATCTCTTTATGTCGCTGTTGATATCCGGAGAAGCAATGAAGGCACAAACATAAACGTATTCTCATTTTAGAAAAGAAGATATTTCCAGAATTCACTCTCCAGTGGTAAGAATAAACGTATGGAGTGTGTTCATTTGGGCTTCATTTCGTCATGTTCATGTTCATATCTCGAGAATTAATAGAGACACAAGGATGAGCGTGTTCTCATTTTCAAGGGGAGGAAATTCCCCATGATACACATTCCAAAAACATCACTTCTTAATGAAGATACATTTACTATGCGGTTGAATGAACTTAAATATGGGGTTTTTTCTTCACCACGTATATTTATGCCCTTGTTCATATCTGGAGAAGTAATAGAGATACAACTATGAACTTGGTCTCCTTCGGAAGAGGAGCGAATTTTCTGTGATACACATCCCTCGAACAACTTTAATCTTTGATAAAGAAAGCGTATTAATGTATGATCATATGAAACTTGGAAGACGACTTGTACTTCATCTTCGCCTGTCCTTGCTCATATCCTGAGGAATAATAGAGATACAACGGTGAACGGGATTTTATTTCAAGGAGTCTAGAATGCCCATCAATACACATTTCGAAATACACCACTTCTTAATTGAGATACATTTGCTCTACTGTGAAATGAACACGAATATGGGATTTTTTCTTTATTTTATTTACTTATGACCTTCTCCAAGAAGTAATAGGATACAACTATGAACTTGGTCTCATTCCAAAGCGGAGCGAATTTTCTATGATACACATCCCTCGAACGACTTCAATCTTCGATAAAGAGCGCTCTTTAATGTACGAGCGCGTGAAACTTGGAAGATGTCTTGTACTTCATCTTCACATGTCCTTGCTCATAACCCGAGAAATAATACTGCTAGACCAGTGAGCGTGCTCTCATGTCAAAGAGCCTAAAATTCCCATCAATACACATCCGAAAAAGCTTAACTTTTTGGTGCACCTCCCCGCAGCATGAAAGCCATGGAAATACAAAATACACAAAACCCCAGACTCAAAAACATTCGAAAACCTTCGAAACCACTTTACCAAACCATTTCTACCTGCCCACTTTTCCCTCAAATTCTCTCTCCTCCCCCCTCCCCCACAAAAAACCGCAATTTTCTACCTCTTTACCTCTCCTCCAAAAACCTAAAACTCTCCAACATCAATTACGAAGGCATTAAACCATGTAAAATGCCCGAGTGACCGACACTGATGTCCACCCCCCCCCACCCCC